TTTTTATATCGTCATAACGTTCTTACCCGCCCCTGCTGGACGTCTGTGCAACAAAAAAAAACACCGAGCTTCGTAGCTCATCGGATTCCTCCTGCGACATAAATAAATGTCGTGTGATTCTAACGGGTCACGGTGTGGGACCGTTGTCGAATTTCCGCCTGTCACTTACTTTAAAACCACTGCTCCTTGGCTGCCATTCGAAGCGACTGCCAAGCACTGCTGTGCCATCACGCGCGCGCGCGCACGCGCACACACACAGGCGCGCTCGGACAGCCCCGCAATAAATTATGCTGGCAGCTGTCTCGCAACATTTGCGTTCCGGCGTCTGAGATTGCAATTTTGATTTTCAATTCAGACTGCGTTGTTTGTCTGTGTGTGTGTGTGCGCGGTGGGGGTTGCTTTGTCTTCGTTATACGTGTGTCTGTGTGCGCTTTGTTTCGTGTTTTACACGCAGGCTGGCATGAATACACACGCGCACACGTTCATATCCTTCCAACATGAATAAATGACAACCACACATTTTGCTGAATTGACGGAATACTTTGCAAAAACATTTTTTTGGGGAACCCCTAATTCCTGGATAGGTCCTTCAAGGTGAGTTCCCCCCCCCCCCCACTTGGAACTCCGCGACTCGCGAAATATGATTGGGAATTTCATCATCATCATCATCGCCATCATTACCATCATCATCAGCCATGCAAATCCAGCATCATCGAGCGATTTGACCCGAAACGTCGTACTACTCAAATTGTAAATGTTGGGGATTTACTCTCCAACACACCGGTGGGCTGAAGTAGTTACTAATTGACGTTTTGTTTACGTGACAAATCCCTTACTAATTGGCTGTGTCGGGTGGTGGAGGGTTACGACACATTTATACTTACCCAAAAAAAACTTTATTATGAATAATATTGTTCGCGAAAGCTTACTACGTGTTAAAATCTCTCTTTATCTTTGCCTCTCTGTCTGTATACACTATTTATATCTCTTCTCTCTACAACTCTGTCTCTCTCATTCATCTCAATCTCTTTCTCTGAGTCCCTCCGGTCTCTTCGATCTCTTATCTATCTCTCTGTCTGCTGTCTGTGTCCCCCTATCTCTCGTGTCTCCCTCTGCGTGCCTATCGATCTCTCACTCACTCACTCTCTCTCACTCTGTCTCTTGACCTCACAACTCCATCGCGAGTGAAAGAGAGAGCGAGCGAGCGGTGCAGCGGTTAGCGCTACCACTGCGCTCCGGCGACCCGAGGTTCGATTTGCGCTCACGGCCATCACCGGCCCTGGGGCATGGTACGCCGCGTATCTTAACCGGTGCGGTGCGTAACATAGGTGCTTGTTATTGGTGAGGATGGTTTGTAAGGTGGTTGTGTGATGGTTGTGATTGTTGCTGTGATGATGATTGTGATGGTTGTGGTGTGGTGACACGCGATCCCGGAACTGACCCGTATCCGTGTCAACACGAGGGTTTACTGAGGCACTCCACGTGAAACAACTCACGCACACATTCGCATACAGACCCATACACACACTCAGACCAACACACATGCAGACCCATACACTCACACACTTACACACATTCAGACCAACACACACATACAGAGTCATAAACGACAAACACAGTTCCCCCGTATAGCCTTAGAAGACTGTTGGGGCAAGTTCTGTTCGCGAGCACTTATGCAGTCCTGCACGGTACAACAGGGGGTGGGTGGCCAACACGACACCCAAACTGCTATTGTCTCCCCGGTGGCGATGTTTACACACCGCACCAGGCACTCATTTGAGGCTGAGTCAACCTAGGGGAGGCCCGGGACCGGTTCAGATAATCGGCACTGGTGTCGCGCGTGAGCTGGAATCGAACTCGGGCCGCCGGGTTCGTAGCGCAGCGCGCTAACTGTTACGCCACCGCTCATACACTCACGCACATACACACCAACACATACATACACACATACACACCAACACACACGCACACACACTCACACACATACACACCAACACATACATACACACATACACACCAACACACACGCACACACACACATACACTCACACACATACACACCAACACATACATACATACACACACACACCAACACACACACATACACACACATACACACCAACACACACATACACACCAACACACACATACACACCAACACACATACACACATACACACATACACACCAACACACACATACACACCAACACACACACATACAGACCAAAACACTCCCACGTATACCCACCAACACACACACACATACAGACCCAGACACTCCCACGTATACACACCAACACACACACACACATACACAGACCCAGACACTCCCACATATACACACCAACACACACACACATACAGACCCAGACACTCCCACGTATACACACCAACACACACACACATACAGACCCAGACACTCCCATGTATACACACCAACACACACACATACAGACCCAGACACTCCCACGTATACACACCAACACACACACATACAGACCCAGACACTCCCACGTATACACACCAACACACATACAGACCCAGACACTCCCATGTATACACACCAACACACATACACAGACCCGTAACACTCCACAAAAGCCGCCATTCGCCCGTGTGTGCGTATGTGCGTACGCGAGTGCGTGTGTGTGTGAATGTGTGTGCGTATGTGTGTGTTGTGCGTGTGTGCGTATGTGTGTGTGCGTATGTGTGTGTGCGCGCCAGTGCAAGTGCGTGTGTGCGTGTATGCAACTACGTGAGTGCATGCGCGTTGCTCACGGCCAACACCAGCGACGATTATCTGAACCGGTTCTAGGCCTCCCCTAGGTCGACTCAGCCTCAAATTAGTACCTGGTGTAGTGTGTAAACATCACCACTGGGGAGACAAAGGCGACCGGGCGTGGTGCTGGCCACCCACCCCCACGTGTGCCGTGCCGGCCTTCATAGGCGTTCGCGAACAGCACTTGCCCCAAAAGTACGTTAAGACAAGACGGGGGGAGGGGGGTGATCTTTGTCTTGTCTGTGTGCGTGTGTGTGACTATGACCGTGTGTGTAACTATGACCGTGTGTGTGACTATGACCGTGTGTGTGACTATGACCGTGTGTGTGTGTGACTATGACCGTGTGTGTGTGACTATGACCGTGTGTGTGTGTGTGACTATGACCGTGTGTGTAACTATGACCGTGTGTGTGACTATGACCGTGTGTGTAACTATGACCGTGTGTGACTATGACCGTGTGTGTGTGACTATGACCGTGTGTGTGTGTGACTATGACCGTGTGTGTAACTATGACCGTGTGTGTGACTATGACCGTGTGTGTGACTATCACCGTGTGTGTTGGTGACTATGACCGTGTGTGTGTGACTATGACCGTGTGTGTGTGTGTGTGCCCCTCCGCGCGACTGCGCGCGCGCGCGTTCGTATGCGCGCATGGGACTCTGTGTGCGCGTGTGTGACTATGGCCGTGTGCGCGTGTGTGTGTGTAAATAATTAATGGTCAATTGGTGGGAGGAAGAGGACGGAGGGAGGGAGGAGACCAAGGAGGGAGGAAGAGGGGGGAGGGAGGAGGAGGAGGGGGGCAGGAGGGAGGAGGAGGGGAAGAAAGGCGTGAGCAACGGAAGCGTCGCGTGGGACAACCTCCAGGTGCGACTCTGGCACTATTTGCGTTTCCAGCGCCGAGATGATGACACGCGTGACACGGTGGTCTCCATCAGAAGCAACGGCACCACCACCGCCAGCAGCAGCAGCAGCATCGCCATCAGCGTCACTTTGGGCGAGAAAGGTGATGTCTTCTTCTTGAGTGCCGTTCTGGTTTTATGTTTCGTGCGTAGCAGCGTCCATCGACATCGTTACCGCGGCACACGTGTTAGCGCCGCAGCTGTATCGGGGGGCGATGATGATCATTCTCATTAATCGATTATTATAATCATTAAGGATGATGATGATGATGACGACAGCAGGGCTAGTTCCCTGTTATTAAGTAAAATGAATGCTTACGTGAATATCGATCATTACTTGGTGATTATAATGATAGCATTCGTGTTGTGTGAATCAACGAAATATTTACCCGAGTCTCAAGACTCCCCCGCAAGAGGTTCCCGCGTGGCTAAACGTGTCAGCTTCCCTTTGTCTTACGCAACAACACAACAACAACAACAACAACAAAAAACAACACAACAGTAGCAACACAACAACACACCCATAACAACACAGCAACAATAATACAACACACAAGCCCTACAATAACTTAATCACAATCAGCATTTCCTCACTTAAACGAATTGATATTTCTTACATTTAAACATCTTAACACATTCGTACCTTATATTGCACAGTTCGGCAGTGACGTTTGTTGCTGACCGCTTGGCATTTTTGAGACCAGTTTCGGGCGAATGCGCTCAGAAAACCGCGATTTTAACATTTTATGTAAAATAGATCCATTTCAAAGCATGTCGCACCAATTAATGAGTTCATTCGTGAATGCTGAGTCATTAACCAACACCACCTGTAGCAACAACAGTCACCAACCACTCACAATCGCAGCTCAGCGCTAAGCATTCCTTATTATAGGGGGGGGGGGTATAGCAATAATTTTATAAAACATTGCATGTATGCGCGATACAGAAGGGTCAGTGCCCGAAACGTCGCCTGTTACATATAGACTTTCCATTTTGCAAAGCCGCAAGCAAGAGCGTCATTGGCGAACACGCTGAGTTTGATCGTTCCACTACGGACTTTGGCGACGCGGTCGGGGGCACACGCACACATACACACACACGCGCGCACACACGCACACACGCACACACGCACACACGCACGCGTACACAGACACGCACACACACACACCTGAACACACACACGCATGCGTACACACGCGCACAGACACGCGCGCACACACACGCACACACACGCGCGTGCACACACACAAAGATCCCCCGTATAGCCTTAACAGACTGTAGGGGCAAGTACTGTTAGCGAGCACCTCACACACACATTCACACACGCGTACACACACGCGCTCACACGCACACACACGCTTTCACACACACGCCTAGACCGACCTCGGCCGGGTATCGAACTGCAAGCTCCGCGAACCTCGGTGGTCTCGGACGCAAGCCTCCTCGCTCGCACCCTCAACGCGGCCGTCGCTCGCTCGTTCGTCTCGCGTTGGCGACAACGAGGAGGAGGTGGTGGTGGAGGATGATGAAGATGACGAGAAGAGGCGAAGGAGGGACGATAGGTTCGCTGCGACTCTTCTTCGGATGCGCGTGCCTCTGCGCGCAACTCCTCGTGGCTCGCAGTCTCGTTGGTCTCGACTACACCGCTGCTCCCCGCTCATCATCATCGGCAGCAGCAGCAGCAGCAACAGTATCAACACCATCATCAGCAGCAGCGTCGTCAGTATCATCACCGTCATCTGCGTCAAGGGCATCAACAGCAGCAGCGTCAACAGGAGCAGCGGCATCATCTTCAGCATCGTCAGAGTCGTCATCGACATCGCTGTCGGGTGCCGGCGGTGATGGCATTAGTGGCGACTCGCTGATGGTGACGATGGCGATGGAGTTCACCGTTTCCGCGGAGCTGCGCGATCGCCTTGAGGCAGATGCGTCCGAGCTCATTGCGGCTCAGCTCGCAATCAGCTGTCCGTCATCATTATCATCATCAGCAACAACATCATCAGCAGCAATATTAGCAGCAGCAGCATCAGCAGCATCATCATCATCAGCAGCAGCATCATCGTCATACGTTTGGGGGTCTCCGCTAGCCGGCACGGCCTTGCTTCACGATTTGACCGGAGAGCCGACCCTCGGGGAAGGTCGGAACGGATCGACTCTGGGTCTCGACCTCGACCTCTCGTTCCCGCGGCACGAGGTGGACGCGGCGTGCGGGCCCCGCGGGCCGGGCGTCCTGGTTCGAGACCTGGCCCTGGATCTGCGGCGTTGGGTACGCGGCGCCCGGGGCAGAGAGCCGCCGATCGCCCTTCGTGTCGGGGTCTCGCTGCTCTCCGCGGGACCCAGCGGCTCCCAGCCCCCCACAGTGCTCCGCGTGTCTCTGCCCGGTGGGTGTTTACGTATTTGCCTGTCTAGCTACCTGTTTGCTCGTCGACCTACCTACCCAAATACCTTCCTATATATACAGGATGCTTCAAAACAAATTGTTGACACTTATATGGGACTTTCGTTTTAATAGAAAAAGAATGGATAATACGCTGCAACGTGATAACAAGTGTAATGTTAATAGCTTCAAAAAGTCAAAGAGTCTCCCACTTGTTCGCCATTATCGTCAACGCGTGCCTTTAATCTTCTCCAGGTGATCTCCAGAGCCCTGAGGCAGCACATTTCCCGTGGTTATTGTTGCAAATTATCCCAAGTGTTCACATTCTTTTGAAGCGCCCTGTATATTGCACGCGTGCCTATCAATTTATACAAATACCTATCTGCCTGCCTGCGTGCCTGCGTACCTACTCACCTACCTTCCTGTATATACACCGCCCCCTCCCCCGCCTACCTCCCTGTATACATGCCTGTTTAACACGTAAGCTTTCGCGAAACAATATGATCCATAAAAAAATATATATGGGTTAGATCACGTAAATATAAATGTGTCGTTAAACCCGCCACCATCCTATACGGCCAATTAGTAAGGTTTGTCACGTGAACAAAAAAGTGTAAAAATAGTTGCTACTATATCTGCACACCTGCGCGTTATGAGAGTGACCCCCCACAACGTGTACAACTCGAGAACAACGTTTCGCTGGTGATTACAACCAGCTTCATCAGGCGATTAGCCAGAATTGTGAAGATGTCATCCTCAAGTTCTCCCGTTGCGGTCATGCCGACTACTTGCCTACCCCAGCCGCCTCCCCCCCCCCTCTCTCTCTCTGTCCACCCAGTTGGCGTGCATCAGAATCAGAACATTTATTTCTACTGGAGGAATCCGATGAACTATAAAGCTTGTGTTTGTTTTTTGTTTACCAATGTCATTACATGGGAAGCTGCACCACAATTATCCTGTGGTCATTTCGCGTGTGGTGGGGGGGGTTTGTTGAAGCGCTGGAGACGCCACTCCGCCGAATGAAGCGGGCCAGCGAGGGATGCACGGCTGAGTTTGACACCCGACCAGGGCTTGAGACAGCCGCTCGCTCTTCCCCCACAGAGGCTCCCTCCTGGGGCTGGCGAAACGTCTTCATGGTGAGGGGTGCGAGCACGTGACGGGGAACCCTCATTAAAAGACGTCCCAGAGACTCACCGAAGCCTTGTCGCACGTTATAATTATCACAATCATCACACAGTGGTGATATTGTTATTTAAATCAGCTCAAGCCTTCCGTAAATCACGTGACTTCTCTGTAGCCCCCCCCCCCTCCCAATTTGAATCCCTTTCCATCTCCCTGGCCGCTCGCTGTGAATAGAGACGCTTCACCGTGCAGCTCACATCCTCTCGCTCCTTAATTCTCCCTTCTCGCTCACTCTCTTCCCTCCTCCCTGCTCATCATCATAACCACTCTCTCGTCATCATCACCCCCCCCCCCTCTCATCATCCCTAACATCTTGGCCCCGTCGTTCCTTCTCCCCCTCCTCCTTCCTCCTTCCCGCTGCTCACCTTGAGCCGCCACCTTCTTCTTCCTCCGTACGGCCGATGTGGATGCAGAATGACAACAACAACAATGTAACATTCGGGTGGTCAAGCCAGACAACCGAGTCGTGCATCACCGTCGCCGTGATTTCTCCTTCGTATTTGTGGATCGGCGCATTGCGTCGTTACGCGGTTGTCCGGCGTCTGTTCCGGAAGATCGCCACAGTCGCACCACCACCCGGGGGAGAGTTTTGAACGTTTCCATTCGTGCAACATCGGAGGATCATCCGAATCCGCTGCTGCCACGGTTTGTGCAGTGAATGCGATTTTAGAGTGGACCGCGATTTTTCGCGAAAGATCAAAACCCCGGGGATCTCCTGCGTTGGGTCTTGAGCCATGCCCTACACTCCCTGTCTTGGGCACTTGCTCCGGCAGTACTTCGACTAAAATTGGCACGATACAGAGAAGATTAGCATGGCCACGCAAATTCTCTGTCTTGGGTTCCTCCTCCTCCTCCCTCTCCTCATCGTCTCTCCTCCTGACCCCTCTGCTCTCGTTTCTAGGTTCCGTCTCCCCATTCTCTCTGTCTTTCTCTCTCTCTCTCTCATTCTTCTCTCTCTTCCGTCCCCGTCTCCCTTGTTCTCCATTGCATTACATCCTTGACTCGTCTCCCCTTCGTAGTGTGCCGCGGGTTAAATGAAGACGATCATCATCATTATTATTATACACATATACAATAGGCAGTAATTGCACGGACAAGCATACTAATGTAACACACCCAAAACAATGGCAAAGATCCCCCGTATAGCCTTGCACGGACTTTGGACATTTGCCCCAGGCACACACACACACACGTGTAGAAGTTATTCATAGACTCGGGCTCATTTTGTTCAGAAACTCCATGGAGAGGGCAGAAATGCAAAAAAATGTAAAGAAATAACAACATCGTTTTGAAAAGTCATTTCAAACCAAAACTATATTGTGTGCGGACGGAAGAGTGTTGTGCTAGCCAGCTGCCACGCGAGCCTGGCTATGATACGGGTCACGCACACTCACACAGATAATAACTGCATTTCACACACAGCCACAGGAACACACAGACGAGAGATTGAAAAGCCAAACGTACAAAGGGAAATCAATGGAGGGGGCGAAGCTTCTACTGACATCACGAAGCAATGACTCGGACGACAAAAAGGGTACACAGCTAAAGGCGCAAGGCCTGCTGGCGGATAGAGCTCTCCACTATAGGCAACTCTGCAGTGTGCCTCTAAGGGAGCACTTTGGCCTACTCTTCCCACGCTACCGCAAGTCATATCGGGCTGTAGGGCGAGCGGCTATCAGTCGGAAGCGTTGCGAGTTAAAATCCTGGTTGGGAGTTGAGAGGCCATCGTGCCTCCGGTCAATGAAACGAGCACCACGGTGGCTAGGAGATGTTAACTACCTCGCCTGGTATACAGGACGTCGTGGGTAGGATCCCGACCCTGACGCCTGCTGCTGTATATTTGAAGTTTGAGTGTCTCCCTCTCTCATCATCATCATCACGGTGGCTAGGAAATGTTAACTACCTCGCCTGGTCGACAGGAGGTCGTGGGTTCGATCCCGACCCTGACGATGCCTGCTGCTGTGTATATTTGGAGTTTGCGTGTCTCTCTCTCTCTCATTATCACGGTGGCCTGGAGATGTTAACTACCTCGCCTGGTGTGTAGGAGGTCGTGGGTTCGATCCCGACCCTGACGCCTGCTGTATATTTGGAGTTTGCGTGTCTCTCTCTCTCTCATCATCATCACGGTGGCTAGGAGATGTTAACTACCTCGCCTGGTATACAGGAGGTCGTGGGTTCGATCCCGACCCTGACGCCTGCTGTATATTTGGAGTTTGCGTGTTCTCGCCGTGGTCGCGTGGATTTTTCTCCGGGTCCTCCGGTATTTCCCTCCACGATTTAGTCAACAACACCACGCATTTATAGTATTTGGCTGCTGCTACACATTTCCACGTGGTGATGATGCTGATAAGCCGCTTCGTTGAGCCATCATTTGTGATAGCTAGGTCGGTTCAGAAAAAAAATATAGCTATATAGCTCAATGGGTCTTACCTGCCAAAAAAAATAAAAAAAATAGTTTAGTATAGTTTTGAGTACCATAGGCGAGAGGAACTTCCACCACGGGACTTCGAGAATGTAAACGGAACTGGATGATCTCTTGAGCCAGGCAAATCACTTTTTGACTTCCACGCCGGCCAACGACCAAGAAGACAAAAACCGTCTTGGAAGACGTGGCCGAGTACCCACTCGTTAGCACACCGCACGCGGCCTGCCGATCGATGTAACCGTGAAACAATTTATACTCAATACTGTTGGAACAAAAGCGGTGGTAGGCCTTGGCTGGCTGGGGGGCCGGGGTGGGCGGGGGGGGGGGCAAAGGGGTGGGGTCTGGGTGGATTTTAAGAAACTCGCCCCGGTTGTTTCAAGTGCTGCGCATGGGAGATGGAGTTACCGAACCGCTACCCGCCCCCCTCCCCCCGCCGGTCGATATTTGCAAAGTCTCGTGCGCGTGTGTGTGTGTGTGACTATTGCTCCGTCGTTTTGTATTCGCAATGCGCGACTGTGGAAGCACGCAGACGCGGATCTCTTACGGGTTGCGCTGGCGACTGCAATAAGAAAAAAACAACCTACGTGAACCTTGTGGTCGTGATGCAGTCATTTTGAGTCTGTTGATGGTCGGCGATGCGGCAACCGACTCATCTCGACGAGCCGTGCTCACGATGCACCACCACCACCGCCACCACCACGGTGCGTGCCGCGAGCGTTCAGGGTTTCGGCGCAATCGTCGTCCTCGTTGCGTTTTCGACATCGTGGATTTAGCACCACCGATTTCGGATTGATTGGTTAACCCAGTCGCGGAGTTAAGTAACGCCCCTGGGGAAAAATGGTGTCCCAGAAATAACATTTTGAATTGCCTCGGCCCCTTTTGTATTATTTGGTACCCCGGGGGAGGGGAGCCATTGAGAGTGAAGCGTCCTTGTCAAGAGGATCCTGCCGGGTACACTGCAGAGGTCAAGTGCCGGATTATCCTCGTAGCAAGAATCGCTACACATGTAGTAGCTACACATATGTAGTAGCTGCACATGTAGTAGCTACTACATATGTTGTAGCTACACATGTAGTAGCTACACATGTAGTAGCTAGTAGCTACATATGTAGTAGCTACACATGTAGTAGCTAGTAGCTACACATGTAGTGGCTACACATGTAGTAGCTAGTAGCTACACATGTAGAAGCTACATATGTAGTAGCTAGTAGCTACACATGTAGTAGCTAGTAGCTACACATGTAGTAGCTACAAATGTAGTAGCTAGTAGCTACATATGTAGTAGCTACACATTTAGTAGCTACATATGTATTAGCTACACATGTAGTAGCTAGTAGCTACACATGTAGTAGCTACACATGTAGTAGCTAGTAGCTACACATGTAGTAGCTAGTAGC